AGGACAGTATGCACTTCTGATTTACATATTCTTTTTAATTCTAGTACTTCTCAAAAACTGATGGTGGCAGTGATGACTAAAATATTATATCTGTGATTTTTTTAAGATTTAGAATCAGTCTGTTTGCAGAAGAGTAAATTGGATAAGAACATAAAACCACAAAATTCCTTTTTCAGTTTTTCATGTGATACCTGGGATATAGGTAAAGGACAGGTAATTTTCACTTTTCAGGCATTTGAAGTAAATGACACATATATTTGTTAAAACTCTAAAATATAGCTGTATTCTGCTCTTATTCCAAAATAAGAATAATGAAGATGTCTGAGTACACTTGTAATGAAATAATATTTGTCCACTGCCCTGATGATTTTGCTTCTCTTCCTGTAAGCTTGCATGCTTCTGTTTCAACCAGAGTTTGAAACAGCATTTGAAAAGCAGCTGTCCAATGAAATTATTATTGTGATATATTGCTCCAATTCTATGGCAGGTTCAGCTCTACACCAAGCAAAGCCAATTGCTTTACATGTTTTGGATTATTTTTTTTTTTCAGAGAAAGAATGAATACAGTCAAAGTTGGCTTGAAATAGAAGTTCTTCTTGAAATACAGTTCCTCTATTTACTTTTTACTGAGGAGCCAGCTGTTACTTTCTTGTCATGGCCTAATTTTATGCATATTGTTATTATCAAACCAGCAAAGCACACTGAACCACAACCAGGAATGTTTGTAATACTTCTATTCTGATATTCAGTCATAAATCTTAAGCTTGTGTTTCCATATCATTGCTCCATGCTTAATATTTTAATGGTCTTAAAATCAGTCTTTACTCACAGATTTCACAGAATTTTCTTCATTTTCCATGAACATCGTACATGATTTGGCATTACTGAAGGGTTTTACTACAGTAAGTAAATAAATTTGGTTATATTCTAAAGAATGCTTTGTATGGAATGCTTATCATTGCAAGACTCTAATAGGCAACTTTGTTTTTTCTTTAGGCCAGCTTTTAAAATTTAGTCTAATAAAATTAGACTATTAGTTTAATTTAGTCTATTTGAAGTAAATTTGCCCTGATAACAAGCACAGTCACATCAGGATATTATTTCCCCCTAAATATATCTTTTGAAGTTTTATACCTCTCATTGCTTGCTCATAGCAGAAATTACTTGTTTTTTTCTGAAATCTGTAATTTGTAACTGAAGGCTGCATTTAGACCAAATAACATTTGGTGAAAAGGAAAATGGTTTTGCCACCAAAATGCTTTTAGTGGCAAAAACAGACACAAACTGCAAAATTCCAACAGCCCATTACCAAGGTTAGTGTGAAACCAGGAGCATGTTTGACAAACCACTAATGTGAATTCTCTCCCTAGGAGTCGTTGCATGGTGAAACAATTAACTGGCATTAGGCAAATGCTGGCTTAAAGGCCTTTGCAGAAAGTACCTTTGTTGTCAAGAAATCATTCAAACAGTAATGTTGCTTCCCTTTTCTTCTTCCTTGGTTCCAAATGGAAAAGAAAAGCTACTGCCATTGATTGCTACTGTTCTTGTGCTTGTGCTAGAGTTCACAAGATGCACAAAGGAATGGAAAGGGACAGTTTTCAAAACACTAATGAAATTGGAAGATTCATCTAATTGAAGGTGTGCATTTAAAAAAAATCTTATCTATAAATCCTCCCAACAGACAAAAATGAGTATCATCATGAAGATTCAATGGCTATATTAAAGAATATTATAACCAATATATAATAGATTCCTTGTGCTAAAAGAGGAAAATGTATACACTTCAGACTTTACTGGGCATGTAGGAAAAGGATACAGAAACAGTCAGGAGAGCCCTGGAAATCTGCCTTCCTCTTTTGAGGAACTACATTACTCATTCTGCATCAGATGGTATTTAAACATGCTGGATCAGCATACTATAGAAAATTTTGTCTTTAAAATAATTATCATTAGAAGAAATTATTTTTTCCTGCTCCTTTGGTGGACTTATAGGGTTCTATTATAATGATACTTTATTTCTACTCACAGTGGTGTTCACTGGGCTTTTGTGTTGATGAAGAAAGCAATAGAGTTGGTAAGAAGGCAATTTCCATCTATTTGCTATCAAGCTGAACTTGGGAAAGACTGGGATTCAAGGAGATAATGGATATCAACTTTATCTAAAATGAATTATCCTTCTGCATAAAATATTTAATGCCATCATTCTTTAAGATAATAACAGAGTTAGCTTTCCTTGCAGTTTAACATACAATGTTTAAGTTGAGGACATTTGATCTTATATTGTTACAAAATATTAACTTTCAAAGTCACACACTTTAAGGTATGGAAACAAAGAGTCTTACAGTTATTAAGTCTTGTTTTTAAATATATGTCACATTTTACTTACCTGTAACTGTTTAAAATACCTTAATATTTAATTTTTCATGCTAATTTCTGGTTTGTAGCACATTGTAAAGTACTTTGATAATACCTTTGTTTCGATTTCTTCTAAAATCTCATCTACTTAGATGGCACAGTAAAGAAAGCATAATGTAGCAATTCTGTGAAGTATGGCAGATGTTTTGGCAGATACAAGAGTGTGATTAACAAGGAACTAATAAATATCTTTATAACATATCAGTGTTCTTAATTGGGTGGTTTTGTAATTCCTACAGTGTGCCCCGAAATGCAAACAGCAGAATGGATATTTTTCTACTGCACTGCTTTTCTTACTGATCATGGATTTATTTGTGAATACATAGGTCAGTTTCGTTAGGAGGAAAGAGTTCTCTCTTTCTTTCCTGTTGTTACTCTGTATTCTGGTTTTATGCTGATTAATTTATTTTATTTTATACCAGACCAAACACTGTAGCCTAATAAAAAAACTAGACTAACATTTATTTTAATTTAATGGGCTTTTCATAGGTGTTTAATGAATACACTACATCTTCTAAATTAAGGAGCTGCACAGAAGAACAACACTTTGGTACCTGATGAAATGTAGTTGGAGACAGCACAACGGCTTGCACTGAGGGATCAAGTGGGTGTGGGGCATACTCCACACTTGTTTGTCCATCCTTTGAAAATATTCAGAAGCAGGGGATTCAGCAGTACCATAGTAATGCCTGATACTGCCCTTGCAAATGAGGAATGCTGCCCAGCAGTTACACAGAACTAAGAGGTTACTAAGGAAAACTGCAGAACCTTTTCCATAGATGTTTTCCTGAGAATTTAAACAAACAGGCTAAGGGTGGAGTAAATACACTTGACCACATAGGGACCTTGCCAGGAGGGATATCCCAATGTCCTTTTGTTTCTAAGTTGCTCTGAATCCTTCTTCTCAAGATGGAAGACACTGGCTCTTCTTAGTAACAATGCAAAGGCAATAGTTGTACTACACTATGAGAAGAGCCAGGGTATGGCTTTCTTAAAAATTAGAAAGATTCCTTAATAGAGACCATGATAAACTAGCTTCCAAATCTGCTGTTCAGTCTTCGCATGGTCAATTGCTCCATTACTAGAGTTTCCTTAGAAAGCAAGTGCTGGCAAAAATAGGAAGAACTTTTGTTTTTCTTCAGTACATCTGTCACTCTTGCAGCAATACATCCCACATGGGTGTGTGTGTTTGGAAGATACACATTCACACTAAAAGCTGAGTTTTGGGTCAGTGATGTATGTTCCCTAAGGATCTGTTTCTGAGATCCAATATGTCACAGACACATTTTATGAAAAATCCTTTCCTTAGGATTTTTTCTCCTGAGAAGCTGAGAGGCCTCAGGAACAAAATGTAAACAATGGTTATCTGGTGCTGTGGAATGCAACAGGTGCATCTGTGATTGGTCTCATGTGGCTGTTTCTAATTAATGGCCAATCACAGTCAGCTAGCTCGGACTCTCTGTCCGAGACACAAACCTTTGTTATGATTCATTCCTTTTTCTATTTTTAGCTAGTCTTCTGATGAAATCCTTTCTTCTATTCTTTTAGTATAGTTTTAGTATAATATATATCATAAAATAAGAAATCAAGCCTTCTGAAACACAGAGTCAACATTCTCGTCTCTTCCCTCATCCTAACACCCCTGCGAACACTGTCACACCAATATACTGACACTCTGGCTCTAGCAAAAGGCAGTGGAATAAGCAAATAGTGTATGATTTATTTGCTTTTTCTTACAAGACTTCTATTTCCTTCCTCCTACATGTTACATAAAAAAGCTACGCTTGCCAAGTGCTTTAACATGCAAAATACTATGAATTAAAAGCAGTTCTTTGTCCTTAGTAAGAAACCCTATCAATGCCACAGCAAGACCTTGTCCTGAGATGTCCATGTACATCTTTCTTGTGCATTTCTCCAAAACTTCATCCATCTGAGGGCAAAGAATACCTTTGATCCAACAAGTCGAAGTGGAAGGTGCTGCATTTGGATTCGGAAGATCCCAAGCATGGGAGAAGAACTCACTGGGAGCAGCCCTGCTGAGAAGGACTTGGGGGTGCTGGAGGATGAGAGGCTGGCCATGAGCTGTCAGTGTGCTCCCACAGCCCAGAGAGCCAAACGTGTCCTGGGCTGCATCCAGTGTGGGCAGCAGGGCCAGGGAGGGGATTCTGCCCCTCTGCTCTGCTCAGAGCCACCTGCAGGGCTGCATCAGCTCTGGGGCACCAGCACAGGGAGGACAGGGACCTGCTGGAGTTGGTACAGAGGAGGGACACTGGCATGATCAGAGGGATGGAGGAAGACAGGCTGAGGGGGTGAGGATTGTTCAGTCTGGAGAAGACTCCAGAGAGAGCTCGTAGCACCTTCCCGTACCTAAAGGGGGATTACAGAAACGAGGAAGAGTGACGGGCAGATAGCGATAGGGCAAGGGGGGATGATGCTTTTAAACTACAGAGAAGAGATTTAGATTAGATGTGAGGAAGGAATTCTTCCCTGTGAGGGCGGTAGGCACTGACACAGGCTGCCTAGAGAAGCTGTGGATGCCCCACGACTGGAAGTGCCCAAGGCCACAGAGAAGCCGCGGCTGCCCCATGCCCGGAGGTGCCCGCGGCCAGGTCGGACGTGGCTGGGAGGCCGCCGTTCCCATGGGAGCTGTCCCTGTCGCTATCCCTGGGCGGAGCCGTCCCCAGCCGCGGCCGAGGCTGCACCGGGACGCTCCCTCAGGCCCCTCCCAAGCCCCGCCCAGCGGCGGCGGCGCGGAGGGCACGCGGCCCCGTGCGTCACGGGCTGCGCGCGCGGCCATTGGCCGTGGCGGCCGCTGCCCCGCCCCCCGCGCCGGCCGCGGATGTCGCAGCCGCTTTGCGCCCTTGTCGTTCGAAACTCGGCCCAAGATGGCGGCGGCGGCGGCCGGGAGCGGGGCTGAGGCGGCGGCGGCGGCCAGGCTGGAGGGGGCGGAGGGAGAGGAGGAGACGGCGGCGGCCGCGGCGGCGGAGGATGGGGAGGGCGGGGAGGAAGACGGCGGCAGGACGGGCAAAGCGGGCAAAGCGACGGGCTCTGCGGCAGCAGGCGGCGGGGAGGCTGGCGAGAGCGAGGAGGACGAGGAGGAGGGGGAGGACGTGTTCGAGGTGGAGAAGATCCTGGACGTGAAGAACGAGGGGGTGAGTGCGCGGCTCGCTGGCACCGGGCCGCGGGGGCACGGGAAAAGGGTAATCCCGATAGGGGTGCAGCGTGAGCTGTGCTGTGCACGGCTCTGCAAGGAGGCTTTCTGTGCCCTGCTCCGGATTCTGTGCCCTCTGCCAAAGACAGATCTCTGCTAAGTTGTTGGGTTTTGTCTGCATTGTTAAACTGCTCTTGGCTCTTGACGCCGAGCTGCGGCACTGTTCTGGTGCGAAATGTTTTAGCGCAGAGATGGGCAGGGTTGGATAGAGCTGTGAGCTTAGAGGTGTTTTCAAGGTATGTTGCCAGGGACCACGGTCACAGATAAACCGGGAAAGACCTGAAATAACAGTCTTCTCCTAATTGAAATAATAAGCTGTAGTCATCTTGTATTGTTTAAAATGAAATACCAGGCCTTGATTTGTTTCTTTGAAACCCCTAGACTGGTTGAAGTTTTTTAAAAATTTTCCTAAACCTCAAATAGAAAAAATAATTAACACAGGGGTTTTCTTAAATTATTTTGTGCCTGAAAGATTTTTATTTTAACTAATTGATGCTTTTTAGTTTTAGGCTTCAGTCTATGACATTATAAAAATCTGTCAATTTCATGTAAAAGGTCAGAGTCTTGAAACCCTTAGTCTGGAGAGCCTTCAGATCAGCATTTTCTTCGATATTTGTGATGTTATTAAATTGTACCTTAGCTGAAGTATGTTGATGTCTTAAGATTATGTTGTGCTTTCAGGGTAATACAGTATTTATAGAAGTGAAGTGTTGGTCAATATCAGTTAGGCTTGAAAACAAGAGGATTCCCTTTTTTTTTTTTTTTAAATTCTTTCCACCCACCTCCAAGTGATGGAACCTGAAGTCTGTAGGTGGTCATGGTGGTGAGACATTAGAGAGTACTGGGATACATCAAGTACCATCTCTTAAAAGTGTCATTGGCACGTGGTGGTGACAGGGTGTCTCTTTTCCCTCCCCTCCAAGCAGCCCGTTCTGCAGCACATCCTGAGCTCTGCGTGCCCGAGTTTTCCAGGCTGGGTCAGCTCCAGCGAGTGGGTGCAGCCAGCACATGGGGATTGTGGCTTTGTGCCTGAGCTCCAAGCTCATCAGGTGCCCTCTCAGTTGCATCCCTGGTGATGGGATGAGGGACAGCACTCCTGGGTTGGGATTGGGCTGGGGAGTTAGACCTGTGCATAAATAAAACATTAACGTGACCTACTTAAGAGAGCAAGCAGTGAAAGTTTGGCAGTGTCGTCAGTGTATCTATAAAGCTTTTCGTTCTGCACCTCAGTTATACTCCAACAACAGGCTCTGGTGCAAATTGTGATGTTCCCCAGTGGAAGTGGGAAATTTTAACTGTGCTGTTTAATGGCAGGGTGGTATCCTTTTCCATACAAGTTGGTTCTAGCTCATCACTAGGTCTCACAGAAGCTAGTGCAGTATAAAAATGCTTGGAAGCATTCAGTTTTTTCTAAGTGATAACAGAAGAAAAAAAAAACTAATACTGAGTGAGAGTGTTGATAGGTGAGTGTAAGACTGTGCCTCTTAGGTGGGAGAATCACTCTTCTGCCTTCACTTAAGCTGAATTTTGTGAAACTATCCTAAGTTGCATTTTTCTGTCACTCTCCATGTACAGGATATAGTCATTCAGCAGCCGAATGGTTTTGCATTTGCATTAGACTTCATGTAACTTTCTCAATTACTGAAAAAAGGACTTGTAGCTTATATTAGTACCTGAATTACAAGGATGTTCCTAACTGCACCTAGCCAAAGTCCTGCATCTGAAAGGGAATAGCCCTGTGCCAGCAGGCCGGTGAGAGTCCAGCTGGCTAGGACACAGATTTGCAGGAAAGGAGCTGGGAGTCCCCACAGGCAAGTGAGGTGAACATGAGTCAGCAGTTCCTGCAGCGAAGGAGGCCAGCAGCACCCAGGAGTGTAGCCAGGAGATCGAGAGATGCTTCATTCTCTCTTCTCAGACTGCTGAGAAGCATCCTGAGTAGCATATGAAGCTCTGAGCTCCCCAGGACAGAAAGACATACATACCAGAGAGGAGGGTAATGAAAACAGGAAGCTGAGAGCTGGATTTGCTTTGCCATAAGAAGAGAATCAGGGGAGATCAGAGTAACATCTGTATCTGACAGGGGGATGTGGGGAGGACAGAATCAGATCTTTCCTGGGGGTGCACAGGGAAAGGATGTGACAGTCAGAGGACACAAGCCTGAACACAAGGACACCTGCATAGATACACTGACTGGGCAGATACCTGAGCAGCCTGATGGAGGCAGTCCTGCTTTGAGAGGGCATTTTACTTGTTAGCTCAGGAAATCCTTTGTAACCTAACACACTCTGTGACTGTAATGAGGAAGTTACTGGTTGCTTATTTTGTAAGTAACCCCAATAGAAGAAAGAGGAGAGGGGAATATGATTTTGGAAACTTAACTCCTAAATCAAGAGAGATGGGTTAAGCTAAATTCTAAGAGAAATGTTAAAACTAAGGTGTTTGAATACAGCCTGTTTATTTATTTATTTAGATGTCTGTGAAGCAAAATACAGAAGATTATAAATAGGGTTGGTCAGTTGGTTGCTGAGGTTTCGTGGCATGTTTATACACTTGGTCAAAGGTTAATTATGCTCAGGCAAAAATTTATGCATAAACATTTAACAGTAAGTGCCAATTGGCAATTCTTCCTGAAGCTTTTTTTCTCCAGGCTTGGTGAGCGCCATAAGGTCTTTCAGAGCATTATCAGTCCATGTGTGAAAGTGAGAGCTACTATTTTGCCTCTCCAAAGGTGCTTTCCTAAGTACATTTGCTATAAAAATAATTTTTTAATGGTAACGAACTTTGTAATTTAGTAGAAAAAACTAGATAGAGACTGCAAGGTGCAATTTTATCCCTCAGTGAAGTTCAATAATGTTGAAACAATTGGTCTCAGATTTTTGTATGTAATCTACCAAATTCTCTGTAACTAGCTCCACTGAGATGTACACACTCAGATTTTTGTCTAGGTTTAACCTGATTTAATTGCTGGGGTTTTTTTTCCTTATTGTTGGTATTTCAGTTTATCAAGAATAGAATTGATTACAAATATAGCATAAATTATAAATTTCAATATGGAACTTGGTGAGTGGTGGTACTTCATTAGAAGTCTTAAGGATTTATATGAAGTTATTCAGCAAAGAGAAAACCATCAGTCTTGAAATTTTTATGGAAGAAATATTAAAACTTGAAAAAAAATCGTTTCATAAGTGTCAGAAAACCCATTTTGATAAACTCACTAGGAATTTATGATATGTACATTGCAGCTGTGGTTCTGAACAAATGTTAGATACTGGAAGTATTTTGGATAAAACCGTTCCAACTACAGAAATACTGATTTGTGTATGCACAAAATTGTGTATCCACTGACATGCTCAAGAACTGACTAGCTGATGCAATACTGTGCTCTATTGTGTTAAATGCTGTGGGTTTTTCTTACAGGGGAAAACTCTCTATAAAGTGCGGTGGAAAGGATACACCTCTGATGATGATACGTGGGAACCAGAGGCTCACTTGGAAGACTGCAAAGAAGTGCTTCTTGAATTCAGAAAAAAGATTGTGGATAACAAGCCTAAATCTGTTAAAAAAGAAATACAGGTGTGTTTCAACTTCAGCATCTTACCCTGGAGACATAATCCCTATCTAGACTCTACTAATGAGAGGAGGGGAGAAGGGAAGGCATTTGAAACGTGGAATTAAAAAATCTCATCCAAAACTTTGTTGTTTCTTGTGAAACTTAATATTGTTGCTGTTCTCTGGTAGGGATTTTTTTTTGTTGTCAAGTTTGCTTGTAGACTGAATCCATCTAAACTTCAATTTCATTTCTAATGGGACTATGTAAGTAATGTATGGTCATTTTAGTTTGTTTTTGACAATATAAATAACCCCATTTCCCTACCCACATGCATATTGTCTTGTCACTGAAGCGGGGCACAGTGTTCCAGTCATCCTCCTGCTTTCTGTAGGAGATCAGTGAGTTTGAACATGGAATCATTAAGTTTGGTAAGAGAGGAATACAGAAAGATTAGATGCCAGAGGGTAGAATATAGCTTTTTTTCTCTTCTTTTTAACAGCTCAGTTAGCCTGTAAAAGCAGTATAAAGATCCTTTTTGGAAACTGGTACCCTGCTTCTGGGAAACCTGTAGGTAAATCCTACAAAATCAAATCAATTGTTTTTAATCAAAATCACTCAGAATTGTTCTGTTCTAGAATACGGTGGTTGGATGTGTAATTGGTTTACTTGAATTGTGTGTGTGTTGATTCTCATCCAAGCAGTTAGTTATGTAATTTAGGTAAGTAAGCTAGAATTGTATTAGCACATGTTGCAGTTTGGCAATGAGGAATGCTCTTGGCAGGGATCAAAAGATTAAAATGCTTAAAAATTTATTTTTCCCAAGCACGACCACTACCATTTTTGTATGCTTTGTACCAAAGTGATAGTTTATTGGGGAAGGAAAAACTTTTAATTTTTTTTCTTTACCTTTTAGAAACCACTTCTAAATGATGATATATTTGAAGCAGAGTCTGACAGCGACTTGCAAAGTGAAACAAAAGATGATGATGTTTCACCAAAGAAGAAAAAGAAGAAGTCAAAAGAGGGAGAGGATAAAAGTTCAGATGACCTGAAGAAGAAAAAATCTAAGTCTCCAAAAGCCAAGGAAAAACCCAGAACAGAATGTGAAAATTCCTCAGATACTTTGGTTTTAGATTCAAAGCCAAAAAAAAGGACTTTAGAAACTAAGGAGGATTCAAAGGACCCAAAGAAGCAAAGGAAAGAAGATACTAAAGAAATCAAGAAAAAGAAGGGAGAAGATTTAAAAATAAAATCTAAAGAAGATTCTAAAGAAAATAAAAAATCACAGAAGTATGGAGATGTTCAGTTGGACTCAGAATCAAGTCCTGTGGATGATTCCGTTTCTCAAGTGACTTATAATGAAAATTCAAACATAAATTCTGAAAATAAAGATGAGAAACAAAAGGTAATAAGTGGAGAAGAGAGATTGGAACACGAAATTGATGAAAAAGATGGCATTCCTGATAAATATCTTGATGGATCAGCAAGTAATGAAGATGATGGTATTGATACTAGGGCTAAAAGAAAGAAGAAGAAAATTCAGAAAGCAGAAGACTGTAGAGAAGAAGATGGAAAAGTAGAAATTCAGGATAGTCATTTAGAGAAGAAGAGCATGCACAAAAAGCAAACAGGTCAAGAAAAAGTACCAGGAGAGTTGGAGATAGTGTCACCTGCTCCTTCACCAGTGCAGAAGGGTGTGAAATTGAGCGCGGATGAAAGGGTGTGCAGGCCTATGGATTCCCCTGGGGAGGTAAGCACGGTTAGCGTGGGCCCTGGGGGTAATATCAGTCATCTTCAAGGTACACATACCTCAAACCATGACTGTTCATGAAGGCAAAGAGAAAAGTATAAATTGGAAAGGTACTGAGCTGCATGAGCTTAAAGAAACACCCACTGCACAATGTATAACAGAGACTGGGAAATGTCTGGATTCTGAACACTCTAAGGGGGGAAATGCTTTAGGGAAGGAGAGCACAAATGTGAAAGGATAAATGTCTCCCATTTACTGTGTCTTCTTAGAATGACATTTCCTGTTCTTGCAAGGCATGCTGTTATTTTTAGCTTTGTTTGTGCCCACCTTCAGGAGTTTCCCCATCTGACTTTTTTCTACTTGTGTAGTAAGGCAGAACAGTGTTGAGCAACACTTGCTCTCTCAGGCACTGGCCATTCCAAAAGGGATTACCTGTGGTTGCACCTACCTGAGAACTGGAATGCTGAAATCACTTCTAAAAGCCAGATCTCCCAAATAATTGTGTAACAAGCTTGTCTTTTTAGAATTCCTGCAGTGCTTATAGCAAATGTTTCGTTTCATGACATGGTTTCATATTAAATAGAAATGCTGTACCTGTTGTAAGAAATAAGCTAAGCAAATACCAGGATATTTATTGTTCCTTATTTAATAGAGTAGTGCTTTAAGAAAAGCAGTATTGTAAAGGCAAAAGAAGAAAATGATGACAAAAATAAGTATTTTTTTGTAATGTTTCTGGGAGTATAATTTCTTCCATCTGCTTCAGCCTGTTCTAATACAGTTTGCAGTTCATAAAACATTGTCTGCTCAGAGCAGCCATGTTCTGATTTAACAGGATTGCAGTCAAATCACATTGATACTTATTAGACTGTATGCCACTTCTGAGACCATAATTCCATGGTAGGAAGTTCTTCTGCAGGTTCAGCAGTGGTCCTCTGCTTGTGATTATCCTGTGTATGGAGTAGGTCACCTTAAATAAGTTATTTTGGGGATAGAGAATTATGTGTCATAATCTCAGAGTAGAGCTACACAGAAGAGTGTGTTTGCAGGATCTTAGTGTTGAAAGTTCTGGAAAACAAGGAATTACTGTGAGGCATAGGCCAGTTTCAGAAGGCTATTTAATTAGTTGAAGTGATATGGTCCTTTATTACCCAAATGGTTTACTTACAGTTGAAGGCTAAAGTGTTTGTGAGAGAAAGACAAGAATAGAAAAAAATCTTTGGAATTCTGTTCTATTTACCAGTAGTGTAAAAATCCTGTCACCTTGACCATGAATGAATGAACAGCAGGGTTTGCCTGTGGCTCTTCAGTCAGCATTCTCAGTGAGTTATCTCTGTGCTTTTCTCGTGGTTGTGCTCCAAGGAAGGTCGTGCTCTGAGGTACCAGCAAAGTATGGAAGGCATTCTGCTCCTTGCTTCTGAGCGTAGAAGGCTTAAGCAGTGTTTGCTGTAACTGGTTAGTTATTCTCTGCAGCAGCTGTGGGCTTGCATGGGTAGGTTTGGTGGAGAGTTCTGCAGGGTATTTTTTGTTCACTAAATTATTGGCCCAGACAAGATGATACCTTTCAAAGAAAATCATCACGTATATTTCAGGTACCTGTCTTTCCTTATGTAACTCTGCTTATGGAGCACCAGGCATGTCAATTTATAACACAGTATTTTCTGTTTGGGGCCAGTCTGCACGCTGACCCATTCCTTCCATTTCGTTTGCATCAAAAAAAAAAAAAAGGATATGTTCTGCATCTGATCAGCATTAGAAATCTGGAATAGAATTCTGATTTTAACTGGAATAGAATTCTGATTTTAACTGGAATAGAATTCTGATTTTAACTGGAATAGTATACTGATTTTAACTAGAATAGAGTACTGATTTTAACAGCCCCACTGTAGCACGTATCTGGTAGTCCCTTTAGTAAGTTGTGGATTTCCTCTTAAAGACTGAGCATCTGGCAGGATGAACAGCTGCCTGTGTTTGCATTAATCACATCAGTGATCAAAAGCCAAGGTTTGTGGAGGGAAGGGGGGGTGGTGAGGAAAGCAATTAAATGTCTCAGCTCTGCTAATACATAATGATACACCAAATTAATCTGGTTTAATTAAGGTTTTTGCTCTGTCACATGGTAGCATATATGTAAATTTTTGTGAGGACTTCTTTTGGGGCAGTTTGTCAGAAAGACAGTGCTACTCTCTTTGCCAGGTTAGTGTCAGAGACTGATACAAAGCCATGCCAAGGAGCCTTGTCCAACCTACTCTGCAGTGAATTTGGTGAGTGGAGAGAGAGAGGATTACAGAAGGTGAAAGGCAAACTTTGGTAGAGAAAGCTGGCTTCCATTTTGGCAAATTTGATTATATATCTACATCTACAATAAGTTTCTTCTGTGATATTAGATACTGCTAAGCTCAGACTTCTGCAGGGATGTAATGACTTTGGGTGGATTTTGCTGAGTGTCTGTTTTTCACAAGTAACTGTTGCCATAACATTCTGTCTGTGTAAATTGCAAAGCTTGGAACCTTTTCTGTCCAACTGTCATGTTTTCTCAGTTGAGGTTCAACTCAATGATATCATAATGCTTCAAATACAGTGCTACAAAATTGTTAAATACTCTGAAATAATTACATTCTGTTCAGGTTTACTATTTGGAACAAACAAAAAGTTTCTAATTTTGAATTTCCTTAAAAATGCTGGTTTTGTAATATTTGCAGCTCTTCCATAAGGCAACTTGAATGGCTGGGATGCAGTAAAATTATGAATTGAAGTTATGTTCAGGAAATAATACCTCCACTGTTAGGGAAAAAGCCTTCACAGACTTAACTCCTGACTCACCTGTTTAATTCTTAGGAATGTCTACAAGTCTGTTGCATATAGGTTTCAGTAGTATTAATTGTCAATATACTTTATTGTTGGAGTGGTGAAAGGAGTTAATTTTCCATTTTTTTTTCTCTACCACTAAAATTTGGTCTTTGCTTTCAATTTTAGGAAAAAGAAGTAAAGAAAACTGAAATTAAAGAAAAATCTCAAAAAAAGGAGCCTGAAAAAGAAAAAACCAGAAAAGAACAGAAGGTCCTAAAAAGTAAGTGCTAACTTCTTGAAACAGAGAAGGGAATGACCATTCAGGGTATTCTCTTCTTATTTCTATAAGGCAGATATTGTGTAGTTTTGCAACACACACACACACAAAGACACACACCAGAAATAAGGAATTCTGTGTTTATTTTAGGAAGCAAAAGTCTTGTGGTCTATGGCTTTGCTAATACATGCTTCATGAGAATGTTAATATATGCTTCATGTATGAAGCACAGAAGTATATAGAAGTCTCTGACATTTTTGTAGACAAGTTAATTTTGCCCTTTTTAATTTAGGATTGACAACTGTGCTTCTCTGGCATGTAATAGTAGCTTTTTTTAGAGGAATTAATCCAACTATTGGCTATTTTCAGAAGTGTTCTGACAATATTATGAGTATATACTTTTTTATACTTAGAAAAATTAGTAGAGGCTCCCATCAGACAAACATCTTGCCTCTTGCTTCAGCCACAGGGACAAGTTATGTTATCCAGCCCTGGATGATTAGGTACACAACAAAGAATGTCTAGGTTCTGTTTCTGTTCCTAATAGTATAATGGATTATTAGTGTTACTGCTCTTCATCTCAGAACAGCTCTGGATTTCTTTTTTCAGAATAAATTCCTTCACTAGAGAAGCACCTTTTTCTGAAAGTGGCATAGATGCTTACTGTGCTTAGGAAAAGTAGTAAGAAGCAGAATGAGTAATTTTTTCTGTGCAGCACTTGTCCTTTGTGTGGTAATCACAGATACTGAACCATACTTCAGAAATAGTATTTATGCACAATTCTAAGCAGCATTTATTAAAAGGAAGGTGGTACCATGTGTAAAGCAGCCAGAAATCAGACTTGCCAGGATAGGTGGAGGTGGACTAGCTCACCCTGACTTCTGTCTTATGCTAAGCTTGCTACTGTGCTCCAATACCTTACAGAAAGAGAACAGATCTTTTCTAAATTGATACTGGTCATATACTAAAATTTTGTTGTGTGATAGTCCTTAGTGGCTCAAGTAGTCACTCTTGGTAACTGTCTTAATATTCTAGGCTTTAAGGTCATCAAAAGTGCATTTGAGTTGTTTAATGTGGCTTCAGAAGAAAAAAAAATTAATATTATGAGAATAACTGCAAAAGAAAAGAATCTTTGCTAGAATGGAAATTCATAGAAGAATCAAAAGAGCAAGGTGTACAAGGAAAGGAGAAATATAAGGGATGAAGCAAAGAGATGGACTTGCATAGCTGCAGAAGGTGGATTGAGAAGGAGTGGATGTGGGTCAAATGGAGAACACTGGTAGTTAAGATTTACTCCATTCCTGCTTGCATCTCGAGTGCTCCAGTTCTTGTCTCTGCAGGGGGCTGCAATGAAGTTTTCTTTTGAAACTCACTGGTACCTTTTCAGTGTGTTTCCAGTGCTTCTGCTACCACAGTGATGGAGTGTTCACCTTCCCATAATCACTTCAGCCTTATTTATTAGCACAAATTGGCAGTTTCTTTCAAGTAAAAGCTTTTTATGTTTGTTTGTAATGTAGCCTTTGCTGCTGAGAACCATTCCATGCTGACTGCCAGGGTTTATTTGAATGAAAAGTAGCAGTAGTCATTTGTTAAGCTGCTGATCATTGAAACAAGGGGAAGCATTCATTAGCTTTAAAATTTACAATTTATTGCTTATTTTACTTTTTTTTTCCTTCCACAAAATTAAATACATGATAGATGGCAAGCAGCAAGTTCTGAGTTTGGGTATGGACATGCAGTTAGAATGGCTGACACTAGAAGAATTCCAGAAGCATCTGGATGGAGAAGATGAGAATCATGTATCAACAGAACCAATATCAAGTGGTGAGTATTTTCTGGCAAGAAGGGGTATTTCTTAGCTGACATTTCAAAGGGAAATATTCTATAACAACACTGAATTTATTTTCTAGCTCTCCTCAGAGATGCTGTTAAAAGTGGAGATTACATGACGGTGAAAATGGCGCTTTCTTCAAATGAGGAATATAATTTGGATCAAGAGGTAATTTTTGTGCAGTAGAAGTATTGGAAGACAGTAGGAGGGAAGAATACAAATTTTGATTTATTTGAAAAGCTTTCCCCTCTTATGTTGTAGCAGATTTCTATCTCACCTAAGTAAACAAAAAGCACAGGGGGTTAAAAAGGAGCAAAGACTTGGAAGTTTCAGTATTTGTTATCTATTTCTTCCAAGAAAAAATGAAGTTTGATAGAACCATCCCAGTAGCTTTCCAGCCAACTTGCCCAGCGTGCTTAACTGACTAAATGTGGAACTTTGCACGCTATTAGGAACAATAACCATCAGTACAAGTGGCTGAACTGTGTAAAACATAGTACATGGGAAACAAAACTCTGAAAAGCCCCAAAAACCTGCAAGGTGTTTGACATACTGGGACCACCTCATAATTAGTTTTCTGCCAGTTTGTTATCAGCTATGTTCTTATTTGATTTACTTCCAAGTATCTATTTTCCTGTTGAATAGGACTGTAGTTCCATTTTTGAGTTCTAAAATCTCCAGTATTGGTATTTTCACTGGTGATCTTGTGTAGCTGTGTTATGCAGCATTTTGAGAACTCAACGTTATGCTGAGTCTTCTGAGGTGTCGTAGGGAAGATGAGAAATAAACTACTGAGGCCAGTATGTATTCTGTGAGTTGTAAGGTCTGGTGGAAAATGCAGGAATGAGTGAGGAGACCGGCTGGTTAGAGTGTCTTTGTACTTACACTCTGATAAAATCAAAAGGCGGTATTGTGAGAGCAGCTGACTTGAGCCATAGTGGTTTCTCCATGGGTGTTGACAGTCTTGCTGCCTTCCCCACCCTCAAATACCCTACAGCCTTACTTCTTGGTTCATTTTGGTTTTTCTGCTTCTTGTTCTGATCCTCAGAATGTTATGGATTTTGCAGATTATAGAGCTGGGAGTGTGAGACCCGCAGACCAGAGAAGTGGGAGGTGATAGTTTGCTGATGTCTGGCAGCCATGTATGTGTGAATTTTTCTGCCAGGGAGGGAAATCCTTGTGAAACATGTTGATGCACTTGAAATTTTTGTCTTGCAGCTTTGATTTATCCTGAAGTATTTTTTTTATTGTTATTTTTCTGTAATGGAAATTATTTTTTTTCCCAGGACCCAAGTGGAATGACCCTGGTAATGCTTGCTGCTGCTGGAGGGCACGATGACCTTCTGCGGGTGCTGATCAGGAAAGGAGCTAAAGTTAATGGTAGACAGAAAAATGGAACAACTGCATTGATACATGCAGCTGAAAAGGTTGGCTTGGTTATTGGTCTGTTTGTGGTTCTGAGCTCTTTTACTTATGATTAAAGGCAGTACACAGTTTTTTACCTTTGAATGATGCCTAAAAAGTAGTTAGCAAGATACAGCAGGGTAACTAATAATAATTTCAGCAGCTGTGGTTATTGTAGTATAAATAAGTTCTGGTCACAAACCCTGCCCTGACCAGAGACTATCATAGGAGGAAAAGTGGAGCTGAAGTTCTTGTGGTAGAATTGCTTGTTATCATATCTGGCTACACGGGATCCAAACTGGAGACACTTAGAAAATCTCTGATTAAACAGGATTTGGTATTTTAAAGCAGTTGGGCAGTGAACACAGTGGCAAGCTCTTCCCAAAGTAAGACAGCTCAAGCAGTAAGAGCAAGTCAGGGTTTAATGGGTGCACTCCTCTGTTCAGGTGGGTCCCATGAACAGTAGATAGAAGGGCAGTGGGGAGCCTCATTCCTGTTTGGTGGCACATGCAAATACACTGCTTCCTCTCTGTGATGTTTATTATTGCAGGGTTTAGGAAAAAAATGTAAGAACTGTAAATAATTAGGACTATCCACTTGCCTAAGTCTGAAATGCTCTTTATTAGCCATGGGAGAGAACAGTGTTAATTGTACCATGACTCATGTTTTGAGTTCTATGGATGAATTTTAAGTAAATGTCATTTTATATTCTGAAACAAAATCAGAATATTTTTTACTTACTTGTGTTGTGGGTTTGGTTTGGTTTTTTTCCCCAGAATTTTCTAACAACGGTAGCTATTCTTCTGGAAGCTGGAGCATATGTGAACATGCAGCAGAGCAGTGGTGAGACTGCCTTAATGAAGGTAAATCCTCTGTTTGTCCTTATGTGGTTTATTAGGAATACTTTTGTCAAATTAGTAAAACATAAAAACCTATTTATAGAATTCATTTCAGGAACACATTCCAGATTTGAAATAAAAATACCCTTCATAGTTACTCTCAGCAGAGTTCTAATCCATTTCTTTAATGTACTGTAATATCGAAACAAGAAACACAGATGCCTTCAGCATGCAGTGCTAAATGTGGCTCATCATCCTCTTCTGCTGTTTGACTCAAAGAAATGCAGATGTGGTCTTCCAGCTGAGATAATCACATTGTCAGCAGGAAGAGAAAAATTCCAGAAAGAATAATCTTTCACTTGGGTGCTTCTGTGATTGGCATTTGCTGTTTTTTTGCAGGCCAGAAATAAAATAGCCAATTTACAGTCTGATTCCCAGTGCCTGTTCTGCACCATTATTCCCCCAGTCACAAAGGAAATCTTGATTTTTTAAAAAAAATTTTTGCAGTGGGAAAATTCTAATACTCTTAAAACAATCTGTGCTTTTAATATTTTTTTCTGTATGTGGATGAATTTCACCAAAGTTCCCCTTTGGATGAAGTTGCTGTATTTATGTGTAGGCTGTTTGTGTGGTTTGTTTGCCAGAGAGGTTACAGAAGCTTTCCTGCCCAGACAATGTGGTATTGTTTCTGTTCTGCACTCTGTGAGGCTTAACAAGTGGGGATTTCACATTTTCTCTGAAGGCAACAACTCACTTGTGGTTTCCTCAGCCACTTCAATCCAAAATCTCTTCATAATTTGGGTACTTCCATGAACCTCAGTCTTGACCTTCTTTAAAGTTTTTATTAGTCTTTGATGCACAGCTGTACAAACCAATTAGCAGCCTACAATGATTTATTCCATGTGTTTGTTTTACAATGCAGATACAAAGAATAGGATCTTCATTTCCAGTAACTTACTGGGACAAAGCTAGCCCTCTGTGGATAACATATCAATGTGTTTATCAAGTCTCTCAAGTAACTCTTATTTAACCTTAGGAGTTTGATCATATTTTTTCTAAAAGGAGAGAAAAAAGATCTTTGCACTCAATTCCTTTCTGTCAGGTGGTGTGAGATTTTTCTTGGTTTTTTGGTTTGAGGAAGGCAGGTGGATTGTACTGTTTATGGAAGATGATGGATTGAAGGCACAGATCCCAGTTCAGAGCAGAGAGAAGTTCAGAAGCTGTCTTCTGAAAGGTCTTACAGTGATAAAAGTGTTTTATCTCTTGTGCCTTTTCCTAATTTATCTGAGTGAAGTGTTTGAAAACAAGCGATCAAGAGCATGTGTTTGCTTTCTTCAAAGTGAAACCTTTTTTTAGATTTTCCTGTGCTTTTGTTAAGTTTATGGTTGATGTGCCCTGAAAATCTTGCTGTAAGTAACAGTGCACAGCCTTGAACATTTATGCAGAGGATGATAACAGTGGCTTTCTGACATAGCTACATACCAGTCTGAGACAAATTCTGTGAATTAATTGCATACCCAAAGTACCATTTTAAACTGAGATGCATAGAAAAACAGGCACTTGAAATGTTACCTCAGTAATTTCTGAATAGTTCTACAGAAACATATTTACTGAGGTAAACAATTGTAAGAAAATTTACAGTTACTGAACTTCAGCCAATCAGTTATCTTCACAGAACTTCTGGGATTTGCTTTCTTTATTTTTTTTCTAATGATGTCTTCTTGGTAATCCTGACTGTTGCTGCTTCTGCCTGGATAAAGATAAAATATTTATGGAGCGTGTTCCTGAGTTTCAAGCCGTGTTACTATTCACAGAGCAAATAATTAAAGTTCTAAATTGTAACTAATTTTGGATTTTAATTCACTTCTGCAGTTCTGCTTGCTGTCATGTATACTCTGTTCTGAGGGGTTTGTAATTGTTTTCTGTCCTTCCATCTTCTCCCTTCCCACCCAGGCTTGTAAAAGAGGGAATTCTGATATAGTGCGGCTCATGATTGAAAGCGGAGCCGACTGCAACATCTTGTCCAAGCACCAGAACAGCGCCATGCATTTTGCTAAACAGTGCAACAACGTACTGGTGTATGAGCAGCTCAGGAGCCACTTGGAAACGTGAGTAAAATGTACTTGGAAGTTTGTTCTGCTGAAGTTTGCCATGCTAGGCATGTCATCATTCTGGTTTAAGTCAAGGAAAATGTCAGGAAAGAAAACAGATCTGATTTGGGCAGCAAGCTAACTAATAAATCATGTGAAAGCAAAATTATGTGAGCTAGCAGAATTGGCATACACTTGCTCAAACACTGAGTACGGAGAGGAGGAAAAGGTAATTGCTAGAAGAGAAAGATTGCTTAAGCTATAGCAACCATGACAACTTAGAAGTGTATAAGCACTGGACCATTGAATGTAAGCTCTTAGTAGGGCATGCCAAATAAAATACCTTGCTAGAAAGCATAGGGGAAAATCAAACAAAAGAACACCAAGCTGAAACACCATGAAAAGTCTGTGCAGGTGTTGTGTTGCTGTGGTGTTGTTTGAGCCTTTAAACATCAGCTATGAGCTGAAAGTGCCAGGGATAAAGCTTTCATGCCAATAGATGATGGAAGTCATCATCAATATCATGCAGCAAAATGACTGAAGAGCAGTGCAGTGTATGTGACATGTAAAGTGTTGGTGTCATATGGACTGAGCTACACTGAGACAAACATACAGAGAAGGACCAAGCTCTCCAAATACCCATTTAATACCCATTTGGAGGAATACTGTAGTTAATGTATATGGGCAGAAAATTAAACCCAGCCATCTCTAAATTTGGGGAAGACTTAGGGAGGGTCTTGTGGCTTCTACAGCAGGTGAGATTTTGCCATGAATGCATAGTTAGTGCTGGAAGAACACTGTCTCAGTGCAAGATTTTTTTCTTGTTTCATGATGATGTAGTCCTCGTGATTCACCTATATGTAATCTAAGGCAATCTATCAAGTAGTTTGTAATCCAAACTTACTCTCTTCCAGTGTATAGAAAGCCCTGGCTGTTTTTTGCTTCATATCTCTTGTGTTTCCCATCAGCTGACTTTTTAAGTCTGTCTTTACAGAAACTACCTTGTAATGGTCAGTGTGTATCAATCAAAAAACACCTGAAGTGACAGGGTTGAGGGGATGGAGTCAGGTTGTTTTTAGTGGTTCCTAGTGACTGGACAAGGGGCAGTGGACACAAACTGGAACACAGGAGGCTACCTCTAAGCATCAGGAAATTTTTCCTTTTGAGGGTGATGCAGCACTGGCACAGGCTGCTCAGAGAGGTTGTCAGGTCCTTGGAAACTTTCTAAAGATATCTGAACATTGTGAGGTTTCTGTCAGCCCACTTGTCAAGCCTGTCAAGGTCTCTTGTGGATATCAGAGGCTTATCAGCCACTCCTCCCAGTTTTGTCTCATCTGCCAAAGTGCTGAGGGTTTGCTGCACCATCCACAGGGTCATTAATTAATCTGTTGAACAGGACCAGACCCACTATTGATCTCAGAGTGCACCAGCAGTGATTGGTTTCCAGCTAGATTTTCTGCTACTGATTTTTGCTGAAGTAACGTGTTTGGATCCAGTTCCATACCAAGAGGAAAGTATTGTGATGCCACCGTTTTTAGTGCCCTGGAAAGCTTGTCTGAGATGCTGTAGATCACCAAAGCAAACTTCTGTCCTGAGCAGAGGAACACTATAAGGAATGTTTTTCTCTTGTAGAATGCTAAAAGAAAAAGTGCTAAAAGCATAAAAGGTAATAATTATTTTTCAGAAATTAGAAACCTGTTAAAGTGAGCAGGGGCAGCTAAAGTGGGTGAATGGAGTATGCTGATTCTGGCCTAGGGAAGCAAATCATGACTTGTTGTTAGTTAAGGTTTTGAAGGGAACAGCAAGCATGCAGGATAAGTAAGTGATCTGGTATGTGCTGTTCAGTGTAGTGAGACTTTGTCATTCATTCACTTTTTGATACCTTTCCAGTTTGTTTCCCATTTGACATCTGCCACCCTCAGTTTTGGCTAATCTAAATAATGAGTTTTGGAAGATCTTGACCATGTAATTTTGCCAGTCAAGTGGCAGTTGAAATTAAATATTGATGATTGCAAAGTCATGTCTGGGGGTACTACTGTGCTGATGTGAACTGTACAGGGAGTAACACAGCTCTTGCTAATTCGGGAAGCTTTTAGACTCACTGAAAATACCAGTTCAGTGCTTTTTGTCAGTCAGAGGATGACATTATAGTAGTAGTGAAGCTGAAAATAAAATTATTAAATGGTCAAAATGTGAAATCAGGAAACAACAACAAAAAATAACCCAAAGCCATGAGACAGGTTCTGCAGGCCATCCTACTAAATGATCTAGTGATAGGTTTGAAGTGGAAGAATATTTTTGCACAGCAAAACTGAATCATGGATCTCGTTGCAGAATGCTGTGGTCACAAATACATGGGATTTTAGCAGGGATTAAGCAGATCTAAGGAGATGAGATTTGGCTGCAGTTTCTAGTTTTGGATGGCTCTTAATCAGATTGCTAGAAAATAGGACAGTGTACCAAAAAAACCTACTGTTTAATTTCTCATATTTAATATGGCTTTGTCAAGCATCTGGGAAACAGGCTGCATGGGCTTTGGGGCTTGCTTAGGCATGGCAGTTCTTGTGGTTTCCTTCCAGTGAAACATTGAAGTTTTAGATTTTGCAGATGATAGTCCCAGTTAACAGGGTGGGGAAGTGTGTTCTGAATAATAACTGGAAAAGCCATAAAGCTGCCAGAGGCAGGACCTCTGCTGTGCTAAAGCACGTAAAACCCATTTCTGACCAAAGAGCTTTCTGAAGAGGATTACTGAGTGATCTGCCGCAAAGGTGCTAGACACCACTTAGTAATGTGGTCTCTCTTTGAAAGCTGGGCTGCCACTCCACCTGGTTCCCTAACTCCCCAAAAAAACAAACAAAACCCCCACTTTGCCTGCCTTTTAGTGGTAGAATGGCTACCTTTGCACTGTTTTATTCACAGAGTTTAACTAAGAACTGCATTTTTCTAGTAGTATTGCCAGTAAAATTCTACAGGGATGTGCTTCTTTATTTTTACTTGCAGGCAGATTGGTAATTCAATCAGGCTGGGAAAGTGGGGATGTCTATTTAACCACCAAGTATATATTAATGTTTCTGGGATATTTTTCTGTGTATAAAGCCTTCAAATATGTGGCTAGTAAAATCCTTTTTTTTAATCTACTGCAGTGCATTTGTATTAACATTTTAGTTTTTTGGAACCGGTAGTTGAATTTCACAAACAGATTGCTGATAAAATACTTTATTAACAGTACTGGGACCTGTGGTTCATCTATCTATAAATGCTAGTGAGGAGGGCATTCACTCCTGAAAATCAGGAATCTAAAAAGGTGATCTGAAATGCTTTTTTTTGCATGTGTGTGTGTCATGTCTCACCAAGCCTATATCTGGTAAAATAATTCACTGTGTGAAGCACAGGCCTCACTTGTTTGGTCTTTCAGGCTCTCAAAAGTAGCAGAAGATACCATCAGGAATTATTTTGAAACTCGCCTTGCTTTGCTGGAGCCAGTGTTCCCAATTGCGTGTCATCGTCTCTGCGAAGGGCCAGACTTTTCTTTGGATTTTAACTATAAACCTCCACAGAATGTGCCAGAAGGTAGGGAGGTGTTTGTTGTTGTGGCGAGGGTTTTGTTTGTTTAAAAAAGGTAGAACAATATGTTTAAAGCATGTCTTAAATTATCTCCTATGCAAAATTATTTTTGTATGATTTTGCAGGACATCACATTAAGAACACTCTGATTATGGAACATAGGGAGAGCAATTATATTTTGATGTATTATGGGTAGGGTTTGTCTGTATTTTTTTTAAGGCTTTTTAATTGCCACATACAGAGTGTCAACTTCTTTCTGTTTATGGGTTACATTAGCTCAGTGACAGGCATTATAGGAAAGGAGTGGTTTACCTTTACCTTAGAATTAATGATTCAGGAAAATTTAGGCTTACTAGATTATCTAGAGGAGGTCTTGTAGTGAATCCTTTTGTTTCATGGACAGTAGCTCATGTGCTGAAGGCTTGGAATGTAGTCCCAGCAGTGCCCTGAGACAAATGCAGTCTAGAAATACTAGGAAAAGGAAGCAGCTGCAGTCAACTTTGTCTTCCCCACAAACCTTTTGAAAAAGACAGGAATGAAATTCCCAATCTATTTGGGAATATTTAATTATTTTTCCAGGAATTCAGATGCTATTTTCTGCTGCTTGGCTTACCTAAGTCATTTTTGATGAGTATATCAGGGAAATAGCTACTGATACTGATTTTTCTTAAAGTGGTAAATCAGTGTGACTATTAGAATCCACTTAAACTGAGATTGAAAGTGGGTATGTCTGCTCAGTTTTCTGGTTGTTCAGAGTTGTTGGATAAGTCTTCCAGTTCTTAATACAGATATCCTGTCTTTTAGAATTAAGAAACTTAATGTAAGTTTGTGTATTAAAACGAAACATTTGTGGGTAGCTTAAGTTGCTGCTTATTGAATTCCAGTGCGGTTCATAAGGATCTGTAACATCTGGGCTCAGTTGTCTTTTCTCTTGACTAGACCCAAACCACACTAATTTCTATAACTGTCTTTGAGTAAACCTGAAACCACAGAAGTGCACTCTGCTGAGGATTGCTGTTTCCATTTTGCATTTCTTTCTGATAGCCACATAAAATTAATTCTGTTGTGAAAAGTCCTTAACTCGGTGACCAAGCCAATTGTTTTCTGGATCCACTGGTTTGGGAAATGGGAGTTTTGCATGTTGGTTTGTTAATATATATATACACCATATGATGGTTTTTACTTACATGTATTTGCACCTGTCTTCAAAGGTCTAGTGTACACAGTTCTAGATAATGGATCTGATTTTAAGTTCATGTAACTGAATTGTCTTCCCTTTCAGGATCTGGAATTCTTCTCTTTGTTTTCCATGCAAATTTCTTTGGTAAAGACATTGTTGCTCGGCTCTGCGGACCATGCAGTGTACAAGCTGTGGTTTTAAACGACAAATTCCAGCTCCCTGTATTTTTGGTAAATCTTTTCATACAGCTGATTGACTGTAAAACTACTTCGTAGTGTCTTTATAGAGCAGCCTGGGAAATCTCAGTGCCGTAATTTGAATTTACAGTATTGTGATGAAGCATACTTTTTATCAGCATGATGTTTTTCTAAAATGAAAATTCATTTTCTTTGTATATGGAGAGAACTATAATGTTTGCTTGTACTAGGTTCCATAAAAATGTATAACTTAAAAGTTAGGGACATAGTGCTGGATAAACTGATTCTAGGTGGCCCTGCTTGAGCACGGGGTTGGATTAGATGCCCTGGAGAGATCTTCTCCAGCCTTCTGTGATTCTGGGACTGAGGCTTCTTCTCTAATTGACCAAGCCTCTCATGTTTTTGACCCAAGAAAGTTCTTAAATAATTTTTAACAACTTACCTCAAAGTTCTAATAATTATTTTCTAGTTTGTTTTTTTTAAATCTATTAAATGCATCACTCTGCACAATTTTGAAGTCTTCTTGTTTTCTCAGTTGTTGCATCAAAGGTTCATATACAATGTTCTTTCAAAAAAAGCATAGTCAAAATGTTGAATTGCTAGTCCTCTTACACAGCTCTTTCAGCCATAACCTACCATTAACTTTGTCCATTGTCTTTTTCCTTGTAGGACAGTCACTTTATTTATTCCTTCAGCCCTACTGCGGGCCTTAACAAGCTTTTCATACGGTTGGCAGAAGCTCCTACTGCTAAGGTACAAAATGTTCTCAAAATTAAATGTGCATGCTTATTTGTTGTACTCTTCTATTGTCCAAGTGCTTCTACCTGTATGTTGCAAATGTAAAACCTAAAGATTTTCCTCTGTCTCCTCATCCCAGTTTCCATCAGTTACAGTTACATCCTGTGGCATAGCCAGAACTTGGAAACATTGCCATGTGTTAGTTCTGTTATAATTAAACATTTTTATGTTTTGGTGAGAATAATTCATACACTAGGATAAACTAGTGTTCCAGCTAAACATCTTCTCCATCTATATTGTGAATTTGATGACTGAAAGATACATGGAGTGGCCACCTTTTTTTTTTTTTGCATACAGATGTTTTTACTTGTGTGTTGGAAGTACTTACTGGGGTATGCACTCTGCTTTTAAATAGTCTGTTGCATTTTACAGGTGGTTTGGGCAATATTCCTTAGTACATGTTGCAAGATGAATTCTGTTCTGGTAGCATTTATTTTATCCTAGAAAGATGTAGCAGTATATTTTACAGATCCTTAGATTTAAAAGTTGCACTGAAGTTATAGTCTTAAATGTTTTATTGTACTTTTATTTTTTTTTTTTTTGTGGAAAAAGGTGTATTCAGATGGAAGTATATGTTTGTCTAGTTCAGATTTGGGGCTAACTTGTTCAAACACCACCTGATGCTGCAGTATTCTACTGGAGTCCTCCAACAAGCCATCCATATCTCAGTAGGGCTACTGTAAACTGATTTATTAAGGACTTTATAATTCCTCTTTTTTCCTTTCTTAGTCAGCAGCAATTGTGTGCCTTTCCTTGTGGCACATAGGAGCATTTAACACAGTAATCACCTGTGGCCAGCGTTGATATGGAAACCTTTGTTTTCTTTTACAGGTGAAGCTGCTCATAGGAGCTTACAGAGTGCAGCTGCAGTGACCTCTGAGCATGCCGTGAGTGGACTGACACTTGTTTGGATATACTTCTGATTCCTCTGTTCAGAGACTGACAAAGCAGTTTGGAACTTTTTGGCACCACACTGAAGACTCAGTTCCCAGCTCGCCGCTCGTTGGCAGTCGCAGGAAGTGTCTGTTGGAGAGCAGTTGAATACGCTGCACTGGTGGGACAGGGTTGTCAGCTTTTTTTACTTTGTACAGATGTAGATGTAAGTATTTGTGCCAATACATACAACTCTGTTTTTCTTTAACTTGTGGAGTCCAGACTGCATATTTCAGCTTTTCCACAATGTGGAATGGTGCATATAAGAACTATTTAAGGTAATTACATGAAATGTCTTTTTTAAAGATCTTCATTTGTAAACTAAAATTTTCTACTTGCTCTAACATTTCTATGTGAAATGCAGAACTGTCATATTATTGGAGCCATGGGAAGAAATTACACTTTAAAATGACTGCATTAGGTTTAACTTTTAAGTTACTGAGGGCTGTGTTCTGTTTTAAAACTGCTTCTGTTCCTGTCTCTCAATGGGACTAAAGTTATGCTTAGAGTGATTCTCTTTGAACTAACAGAGTTCAGTCTGCAGGTGTGAACAAAGACATCTGAACAGGCTCCATTCGCAGAAGGGTCTCAGTCAGGTTCCCAGTTAAATCTCTGCTTTAACCTGCTTTGGTATTAGAGAAGCATCTGGTAGTTTTACAGACATCTTAACTTTTGAGGTCTTAGGTGACATCTAAGAACAAATACAAGCTGAAAATAGCAAACCAGAAAACTTGTAGCTACCTTCAGTGTCCAGGCAGTGCTTTTTGTAGACAAGAAGATACATAGAGAATTTCAGATGTTCTCAGCCTGACAGATGACAGAACACGTGTTGTCCTTTACTTCAGAAATTCAGTTCCTCAGTGCGAAAAGCTGCTATCTTTTTATCTTATTATTATATTATTATTTTATTTAAATGACCCGTTTTATCAGATGACAGCAGTTTTGTAATGATCCTGTGCTGTAAAATATAAATGTAATACTTCTGCATGGAGTATAGAATATCTTTCCTTGTAAATTAACCAACTTCTTGAAAGGTAGGAAAAAGCAAACCAGATCGTGCCTTTGCTGTTCTAGTTGTCGTGTGTAGTTTACATGCCACTGTGTGCCTATATTATTAGCAAGACTTGTGCATAAATTCTTGATAATTTTGACTGCTCACCATCCAAATGGTGCAGCTGTATGAAGTATCGTTTTAAGAACTGTGATTTTTTAATATAAATTTCAGTTAACCAGTTTTTAATTTTTGGTTCTTAAAGTTTTACATCTTTCATACTTAAGAGATGCCAAATGAGTAACGAAGGACACAATTTTTGTGGAATGTCACATTAAGCTATAAAAAACTAGAACAGCAGCATGACATAGAAATACTCGTTTCTGTTTTGATTTAGAATAGTTGCTTATGTTTTTGCACAGTATTGATGAAATCTTAACAAATTTGGGTTTTGAACAGACTTTATACCTCCACCTCTCTGAAATATGTTAGATACCTCACTTTGCTAAGTGTGAACACCTGAGATGCATGAAAAGCACTGGCTGAGAATCAGGTATGTCACTGCCAACACTTGGGACTTTGTGTAGCTGAAATTGTAGTCCCTGTGCATAAGCCTGGATGATGCATAAGGAAAGGGGACACTTGTGTTTCCTTATGCTGGAGTGCCAGGTTTCATCTGCACGGCTGCCCCTCGCAGTCACTCCTGCAGGACGTGTGGCAGCACAGTATGTGTGGCACAAGCTCTGTACAGTGCCTGCCAGTGGGAAAATGCTGGAGCTGCTCCAGGCGGGGATAAAAGGTGTTTTGATCAAATGTCCAAATGATAGAGATGCTATTTAGAAACTGTTGTACAGTCTAACCTAAAAATGTCTAGTAATGCTCCAAGAGTTGATAGAGCAAGTAGGTTGTCAGAGGCTGTTGATTTGGGGAGTTGTTTTGTTTTTTATCTTGAGGCACTTGGGAGAGAGGGAGGAGTTCTACAGAACATGGGAATAAAATCTGGGTTTCATGATGCTTTTATTAGGGATGAATATTTTGCAGCCATCTTTCTCTTTTAGTTGGCAGTATAAATTCAGAATCCCTATTGAAGATGCATAAGAAGTGGATGAAAAGCTGTTTGAAGCTGGATTTTGTCGGTTTTTATTGTATGGGTTTTGCCCAATTGCTGAAAAAGGTTTTGGTGGACAAAGGATGAAGAGAAAGTAGCTACAATAAAAAACAATTATTTAGGCACTGTGGAGAAATACCTGTGAAGTACTTGCTCAGTTTCTTCTTGCTGCCACCAGCAAGGGCTGCAGCTGCAGTTCCCATGAACTGCAGAGGTAGCAGATGGTTCTGAAGGCTCAGGGTTTTTACCTTCACTGTTCCAGCACCAGTAGTGCTGTTCTGGCTTCTTTCACCGGTGCTGAAGGTTGGTGGGTGATGCAGCTGACCGTGTCACAGGCCTTCTGTGCTTTCTGCACCCATTTGCAAAAACAAAATGGGTTTTCATCAGTCTGAATTTAAGAAAGATGTGTACTTTTCACCTCCTGAACATGGCTAAAATGTTTGAGTGAGGGACAAAGACAAGTTTGGAAAAAAACACCCGAAAAAGACACCGCACACTAGAAATTTGAGCAGAACTGAGGTAGCAGGAAAAATTAAGCTTTAAAAGGCTTTCTCAAAGCTCAGATACCTCAAGTATAGCAGACAGCAGGAAGGAACAGACAGAGGATGGTTCTTTCTGACTTCAGGTCTCCTGTTTTTCCACAGCAAACCAGTCATGCATGGTAACTAGAAATGAATCTTTTTCCAGAATGTCTGTAATAGTTCCTGCATGATCTGAAGTGTAAGGAACTCCTCTGATCAGTTAGTTACTGGTCACACTGCTGCAGTTACAGTAGAGGGGTCAGACCTTCCCATTGTCTCCCTCTGTTGCTGTGCCTCTTGCTCTTAAGGGAAGGCACAGCTCTGCTGCTCAGAAACCCAAACCATGCAAATGGGAACTGAAGACATTGTTACACACCCAGGGAGATGAGGGCCTGTTCCAAAACTGGATTCACTGCAACTGTGTGGGCATGGGCCACCAGAGCTTGAGGGGACAGGGTTACCCATGTGGTGACATCTCAATCTGTAGTGCAGACTCCCACTTCCTGATGAGAAGTCTTGCACCCTGTAGCTGTTACTTGTATGGACTTTCCCTAGCCAAGAACAGTTTGATGAATTTGGGAAGAAAGCCCTGTTAGAGCAGCTGCATGTCCTACACTGAATAAGCCTTCCAGTGGGGGAGAGGGGAAGGTGCTGTCCCAGCCCCTCCCACCTGTAAAGATTGTGCTGACAGTTTTTCTCAAAAAGGCTTTACAAGATTGCTTGAGACCTGTATGCTTGCACAGGAGATATAAAACTTTGGGTGTTCCCTCACCTTTATAGATCCGTCAGCTCTGCTGTGTCAATATCAAAGTAGTTCTTTCAGTGAATAGCATGGTTAAGATCCCTAAAACCACAAGTGAACCTCCAGACCAAGTCCTCTGCATCCACCCTTCCTGAAACCAAAGGATTACCAGGAAGCCCCCAATGGTTCCACAGTGCAGGGAGTCCAGGTAAGTACAGCCACACGGTACTGCCTTGTACTGCTTTTATTAGTAGCATGGTGCACCACTGCCATGCACTGAAACAGTGGAACAAAGCTGCCACCATACTGTGCACCACTGCCATGAGCCTGGCTCCATCTTCTCTACGTGCTTCTCTTACGCAGCCAGATTAACAGGATCTCTTAACCACCCCTACCTCCTGCTCTCCAGCTGGAAGAACCCCTGCTGCCTGCCCCTGTGGCTCCTGTGCTCCACAGCCTTCTGACTGCCCAATGGCTTCCATCTTCTTGTCTTCAAGAGCCCAGAACTGGGCACAGTGTTTCAGCTGCAGTCTCAGAAGTGCTGAACTGAGAGATTGCTCTTCTGGCCCCTGCTCAGCCATGATCTTCTAATGGAGCCCAGCATGGGGGTGGACACCTTCATCTTCAGTTGTCCCTCGGGACCCACATCAGCCTCTGCAAAGCTTCTTCACCACCAAGATCTACAACTGCATCAGCTTACTTCAGTTCCCACTGCAGGATTTAACTGTGAGGTTCCAGTCAAATCTTCAATTCATGTCCACTGCATTGCTGATTTCGGGAAATAAAAAAATAAACATCCTGTTACTAATTTGAAACAGTTCTACAACAGCTATAGAAATTTTAAAAAAACCCTCATGGTATGTTACAGGCCAGTGTTCAAATCACATCACGTAAAATTAATTTTTCATTCTTCATGTTTTTTCTTTTTTTTATTGAGCTACATTAAGACAGCTGGCATTTGTAGCATAACTCCTTACTCAACAGCACAGACAACTTACTGCAGCTGTAATCTCCCCTGTGATTAGCATTTCCTTCCAGTTCTTTTCAGCTGTCACTGCCTCATACCATTTTTCTCTAGGTAATTAATACTTTCATATTCTTCTAAACTACTGCAATATAAACACAATCCACACTACTGCTTTTTCTTTAAACCCTACCACTTTCCTATTTTTTGTCATATATTGTAGGGCTCAAAAATATTTTCTTACTTTTTAAAAGGCTTTTTTAAAGTGCAACAGCAATCAGTTAAACCAAGGAGCAGTCATTTAATATATCATTTACTCTTATTGTTCTTGTAGAACATACAAACTTTAATCCTTTTAGTTTAGTTACACCCATTTCCCTTAACACTATTGTTTCTAAAAAGGAAATCTGCCTGGAGTGCAGTCTAGATGAAAAGGGCATCAGTACCTCAGTTACACATCAAAGCAGGCCAACATCAGCTCTGCTATGAAATGCTGAACTGGCATCACCTTCTGTGCCAGAGGCTGAAGACAGTAACATCACAAAAGCTGTAACTTGTCTCCTCATGTAGGAAGAGGACTTGGAGCTCACAAGCAGATGTATTCACATTCTTATGTCTTTTTCAAGCTGAGGTATTGGTGGAGGACACCACCTCCAAGCTGTGTGTGTTCTTTTTTGTCATTTCAAACAGCCCTTTTCCCTCAGGTCTCAAAGGTCTGGCCTGTCTGCAAGCAGAGAGAAAACAGCTTAACTGAGAATGATCAGTTTGTCCTTCTCCTACCTTCAGCCAGGTGTGATGGATTTAGTTACTATTTTATTAGATAACAGCATTATTTGTTTGTCCAAGAGCACTGAGAGATACAAGGAAAAAAAAAACATTCATGCATTAAGCACAAAAATAGTACTAACAAACTGAAAACTGAGTACAAAGTGTACCATTATGAGTTTTAACAAGTGACAACACGATTATATTCTCACCCTGATGGTCCTTGTCCAAGGTGCAGAGCAGCATTTTGCACATCATCACAATGTAACAACCTCAGTTCTGAGGGTGGGCAGCCACCAGCGGCTTCCATTGAAACCTAATGCATTCAATGGAGACAAACATTTCCAGGAAGTAAGTACAATTCAGGCTGAGGCGTTACAAGAGACACTTCAATGACAACTTCATTGACAGTGTGCTTTTGTCATCAAAGTAGAGCACTTAAGACTCAAATGGCAAATAACAGAGCAACACAACAGCAAATGTTTTCATCTTATTGCAGGGGTTCCATACTATTGTCTCCTTATCACAAACATTTTATACCTTCTTGGTGTTTCTCGTGGGCAGCTCCTCAGAGCACTGACTCTTTCTTCTTCACAAAGCAGCCAACTGACCCCAATTCCCTCCTCAACCAGCCACCCCACTCTTTTATAGCACTCTTCTCAATGCTTACACCTGTGGCATATTAAATTCAGGCCTGTTCCTAGTCTTTGATAAGTGGCCCAGCTGCAACTCCTTGGGGGTAAGATTACTTTCTACACTATCTTTATTTTCTTATATTCTATCCCCCTACAGCAAATACAGTTGGATAAAGAGCTGAGCAATGCCAGCAGTTTTTCAGACAGCCCTGCCCCCACCGAGGCAGCTGGAGCTCCCTCTGTTCAGGAAGCCCAGGAGCAGGCAGCCTGGCACAATACTTAAATTCATTGGGCCATTATACTTGGTCAGCCAGGTTCACACTGCAATCTGAAGCCTCCATACATGTGAGGAATGGGGGAAGAGGAAGAAAGGTTCTTATCACTTCATTGAGACAAGGAGTTGTTATTTAGCCAGTAAAAGGAACACTTGTATCTCCAAGGAACCTTGACCACCCTTTTTTTCCTTCACAGGAAGGAAACTGTAAGCTGACAGAAAAATTCTGAGATGCCTGGGAAACCTGCCAAACACTGAGGTTCCCAAATGGCTCTTGTGCACAGCAGCACTCTCATATGTAGTGACAAACAAGACTGAATTCCAATGGCTGCATGGTCAAGACAAAATGTCCTCTGGATAAAAAAAAAAACCAAAAACTTTGAATCAAACTCTGAAAAAATATGCAGCCATTTTCTGTTTTATTTCTACTTTTCTGACAAAGAGGTTTAGCTGCTTGTCTTTTTTAGATTTTGTGAGTAAATGCTTGTAGGTTGCTTATTTCAGTAGTCTGGTTTATATTGCCAGTTGTTGTGTGATAATTCTTCTACTGTGATTTTACTACAACTAGAAAACAATGTAAAGTAAAGGGCAAAAGCAGAACCACAAAAAGGTGTGCAACAACTTTCCCATCTTGTCAGTGCCCTTCCCAGAACAGGTTCCAGCTTAGAGAACACAAACTGGACAAGTCACACGCGCTGAGCTTGCTAGGGTGCTCCCATGAGTGCTGAAGGAGCTGGCTGCTGGTCTTGCAAGGCCACCCTGCATTGCTGACAAAGTGTGGCAACTGGGAGAGGTGTGCAAGGATCAGAGGAAAGCAAAAGTCACTCTAGTCTTCAAGAATGGCAGGAAAGAGAATTCAGGGAACTACAGGCCCTCGGAAGGTGATGGAACAACTACTCCAAAAAAACATTTGCAGACCAAGAAGGTAAGTTGGAGCAGTCAGCATGGATTTACAACAAGGTCATTTGCAAATTCTTCAGGATCCCAACTGGAGCGCCTCTCTGGTGACGTGACCAGTTCAGTGGACACGGGGAGAGCAGTGGGTATTATCTGCCTTGGCTTAGGAAATCTTTTGCCATAGTATCTCCAACTAGCATTTTGATCCTGTCATGATACTGCCAGACTACTGATAGGCTCAGTGGACCATGAGGTGGACTAAAAACTGGCTGAAGAGATGGGCTTAGAAGGCTGTTGGTGACATGAAGTCCTCTTGGACATGAGTGAATAGCAGAGTATCCCTGCACTGAGGCCAGTCCTTTTCAGGATGTTCATTTCTGCCCTGGTTGATGGGACAACATGTCCTCAGAAGTCTGCAGGTGACAAAGCTGAGAGGAGGTTCTGCTAAGGCCATAGTGTCATGCCACCATCCAGTTATCCCTTGAGAGGCTAGAGAAATGGGCTTACAGGATCTCATGGAATTCAACAGAAGGAAATGCCAATGCCAAATCCTGCTCCTGGGGAGAAATAATCCCAGACACCACGACAGGCTGGAGGCCAGCTGGCTGGAGTGCCCCTTTGCAGGTAAGGACATGGTGGCCCTGGTGAACACCAGGTCCAAGAACCACCCTGAGCAAAGAGTGCAACCTGGCCACAGAGGCATCCAAATGGCATCCTGCTTTACAAAGAAAGTTGCCAGCATATGGAGAGAGATGATCAGCTGGTCTGAACCCCTTCCATGGTCAGAGACACCTATTACATGTGATTACAAAACAGATAAATTGTTCTGGTCCTTTATATTCCCAGTTCTCTTATTTACTGTTAACACAACTACAGAGACAGCTCTGAGTCCTTTTGCCAAGCCAAACAAACACAGAAGAATTAACACAAGTTTCTCTTGCTTTACCACTAGAACTTGCAGAATCTTGGTCAAATCCCACTAGTGTTTAAATTTACTTTTACTTCATAAAAATAACTGGTATTTTGGAATTTTGGAGCTACCAGAACTATTGAACTTAGCCACACAGAACTCCCTTTAAAACCTTGCTATCTGTCAGCATCATTGAAATGCTGTCCAAAGTCAGGGCAGATGGCACTACACACCTGTGTGCACACAAATCAAACTGTGCCCCATGCTCCCAGAGTGCATGGACACCACCTTCCAGACCAGAGCCCTCTGATTAATGCCAAAGACTGTTCAGAATCAGTAACTACTGTGTTGGTTGTACAAACAATCAGGAGTCTGAGCGCAATGTATCAGTAACATCCAGCAGCTCAGACATGGTGTCATATTAATGTGGCACTGTGGGGTTTGGATGGCTGGCCAGAGCTTGAGCTGACTCCTAGAGGCTGTGTGCATAGGCTTGAAGTCCTTTAAAAACATAACACATGGCAGGAATTATGCCAGGAATTAGGCCAGGAATTACATTATCTGAAATCAAGTATTACTTGAAGTGTAGAAGAACAACTACATCAAATCACAAATCTGAACAAAAAGTGGGGGACTGATTTCAGTAACTGCTGGATAAAGCCATATACCTTAATACGTACCTTGTACTAAAACCTAGTTTAGGATTCTCTTTTGTCTGCATAAGATACCAGAAGGATTCTGCACAAGCCAGTCTTCATCTGCATTTTTAAGATTTTAATAGTAACCTAAAAAAATAAAGAGACAGTAAATAACTGACATTTCAAGCAAAAGGGAAAACGCAGTAGCTTCTCTTTTCAGAAACCCATAATATATGGAGTAATAAACCATAATAAAACTTCCCATTACCAGAAAAAAATCAATTTATTCTCTACCCGTTCTTACCACTTAGTTGTTTCTCCACAGATTTTATTTAAATTTTTACTACCTCAGCAGTTCAACAGCTGTTCCTAGATTTTCATATTTCTGCTTGGAGTAGATTAACTGCAGTTCTTATCCAAAGAGCCCCAAGTCATTTCCCTTTGGAGGTTTTCTAAAACATATGTATTTCATGTGACACTAGACAGTCTAGACATTCTAAGCCTGCCAAGGCGCATGGCGAAAGTGGCATTTCATCCTTCTAATATTAGTGCCACTAAAATGATTAGGATCCCTGCACACAACACTGAGTCATTAGTGACACTTGAGAACTAACAGCTCTCACTGCAGTCTCCTCTTTCTGCAGCATGTTGTTGTACAGACATTATTAACGGGGGGCAAAGTTATCTATCAAAATGATGTACCTGAACTGAGCTGGAGTAAAAAACCATTTCACAACAGAACTGCATACAAGTATCATTCTTAAAATACAGTTTAATACTGCAAACATTAGAAATTGATGCAAAAGTTTAGGACTTCTGTAATTTTACAACTTCTGCAATCGATTGGTTTGTATTTGCAGTAAATGGTATCCACCTTGCACAGTGTCTTCTCAGACTACGCATGCAAATCAACTATCCAAAATGTCTAAAATTCAACAGCTCCATGCCCCAAGCCATTCAGGCTTCGAAACAGCTCTCACCTGTAGACACATTCCCTCCTCCCAGAATTAAAATCACCTCTTCTCCCTAAGTGTCTCAGACTTAAAGTAAGATGTGAGCAGTGCAATGTTTGACAGGCTTAGCATAATCCCTTACTCAGGCACAGAAACATGTTTGCAGAGCCTGAGAGCCCCAAGGAAATGTGTACAGAGAAGACTGCCTGGAAAGGTCCTCATCACAACAGCACAAAGGGTGAAGAACTCCCCATACTCCCAAGTAAAAACTTGTTAAATTGATTTTCCAACATCTTGAGGTCCTGTTTTGATGATCATAAAAGTTAGCACACTCTGCAAAGCATTTATTACAGACAGAATTCCTTTGGAAAGCCACACACAGGTTACACCTTCCAGGCTAGCTTCACTTTAGGAACAGTCCCAAAAACCAATTCAAGAAGTGACATATGTGCAAATTACAACATACAACCACAAATGTTTACAATAAAGTTAACATTTACCTTATCAGACACAGCTGAAAACAGGCTGAGATGTGCAGCTCAGAATAAATACCATTTTAAAGTTGGCATGATTAATGTCTGAGCCCTATTAAATCAATTCTCCCATTTGGTTCCTTTTTATCTCCCCTCTCACACCATGGTGAAACTTGCTATCTATCAGATTTACAAAGTTATCTATTCTGTACCAGACATTCAGCAAGATAGACACTTTCTTCCTAAAGCACAAATGAAAGAGCACAGCCCACTAACCCTTCCTAACTGTGTTGATTCTACAATCATTTAGCAAGTCAAATGCAGTAATAGCTGTAGTGATGAACTGCCAGTCATAGGGAGTTGGCTGGAACTGTCATCTGGAGAAGTGTTAGTGCCCTGAGACATCACCTCCACATGGTGCAATTAATGTAGCTATTGATAGGTATGTACCCATCTAACAGGACGGCTAAAATAACAAACTGCACAGTTTTCAGTCTGTATTTTATTATTAAAAAACCCCAATAATTACTTTCTCCCTTTCCTCCCCACCCCCCATCAAGAAAGCTAAAGCATCAAGGCCTAACACAGCCTCTCCAGTTTCTGTAACTGACAGTGAATACTACTTTCTCTTTCTTGGCCACCCAGATTTACTGAAGAGAAAGCAGTGTGCCATATTCTTGGCAACTAGTAGATATTAGTGACAAAGCTGTAGCCAAATAATTATCACCCATTTTTGATTACAGGCTCTAAAACCCAGTAAGACAGCTAGGAAGTGTTAAATTGTCTATAGTTTCTACTAGGAATGTGCCTCTGCACAATTTATTCACAATTCTCCCTCTTCTAAGATCATTCCAACCTCTCTACCCTATATAAACTCTGTTTATGATTAGTAGTATTTACTTTGCTAGAGCTGAATGCATCCAAGCAGCCAGTGATGAAAAATGTGATTTCTAAGAGTGAGCTGGAACACAAGCGAAAGTTGTTTTCAAAGAGACTGAATTTTCATCCATATGATAAAGTTCTTCTTTAAATTAAAGCTCAAAGTGGGTGTGGTGGGTATGGTAAGCAAAATGAATCTGACCTAGTCTAAAAGGCTTACACATGATAAACATGCCTGTTCTGGAGAGGAGAGAGGCATCACACATACAAACGGACTGATATTGTGCATATATTGTGCAGTTACAAAGGAAAATTGAAAACCAACTCCTAAGTGCCGCTATCTCAAGTAATGCGGGATATCTGCAGCACAGACCGGCTGTGTGGGACAAGCTCCAGGCTGCCGGCGCCAACTCGGAGCAGGAACAGCTGTGAAACTCCAACACTGAAGGACACTGCACATGTACCTTGCACACAGATGCACGGCAGCTTCACCAGACTGACTGACAGAACAGGTTTTGTGGTTTCCATTCCAGGTTTTTTTTTGTTTCCATTTTTTTGAGTTAATAGGCTTTTTGATGGCTACTTTAAGTAAGAGTAATAAAACTCCCCTAAGTTTCCCCTTTATTTTAGGTCTACTTTAAAAATTACCTAGCAACACACAACAGCAGCACAGGTAAATTTTGACTTCCACTGAAGTGACCATATGGCATTTTGCACCAGCAGGCACAGGTATGACTTTGAGAGTAGCAGAACCACTATCCAGCACAAAGAAAGAAGAACTCCAAAGCCGAGGTGTTCTCAGGAAAACACACAATCCCTTGTGGCCACTTATTTGGGGTTTCCAAAGGGAACCCAAGGTGATCCGCAGAGCTGTGTTCATGTTTGCATTTGTTCAGGCTTACCTATCAAAAGGTAACAGATAACAATGTTGGCTGCTGACATACTAACAGAAGATACAGTGCTAGACATTCTTAAATGGTCAGGCAATCTTATCCTCCCCATTCTTCTCTTAGTTTTAACTTTAGTCTGGCCAAACCTGCTCATCTTAATTATGACTAGTCCCTGCTGAGGACAATAAAACCATTAGAGACGAAAAGCAATTGTTACCTGGCATCACTGCATAGCTGCCAGGGATTATAGGAGACAAACTGCAACATATTTTTTCCAAATCTTGTATTTGTCAAATTCTCTTAATAAGTGCATATTAAGTACTTGCAGAGAAGTAGAAGCAAGCAAGCATTTAAGGGGAAAAAAATTCCAAATTAAAACTCAAAGGAAGAATTAAGTTCCTAGAAACAAAAGGGAAATACTACTTGAGCTAAGCCAACAAGGCATTCAATTTCCTTTGCAGGATCGTTAAAAATATTTTACATCCATTTCACAACTTTAAAGTTACAAGGAGCAGGGTACCTGAAGTTAGCATCTTACACAGAATGAGGAATGTGAATGCAGTAATATTCCTCCTCTGGGATCAGATTTCAAAAAAGAACAAATGGTGGCAGTTACTAGTGGCCAGGCAATGAACACATGCCAGTGACAATCTGCGATCAAGGGACATTAGTTTCTGTTTTGCTTGGATTGCAGATCTTCACCATATAGAAATTAGATGATTTCTTCAGTATTTAGGGAATGATGAGCATGTCTGAAAGCATTTAAAAAGAAGACACAAAAGTTTTCATCTGTACAGCTTCAGCAAGGTCTGAATTCAAAGATCCTAAAATTTGTAAGCACTTCATAAAATCAATAAAATTGCTCAGTTGCAAGTCATTACATTCCTAGGTGCAAGACACAATAGCATCAAGTGGGTTTTATATATATATATATACACACATTATATTTTTTGCAAAATGTTATGCATTGTGAGACAGTAGTCCAAGTCATTAAGACAATCCTGTGTGAAACAGCAACTAAATCCTGTATTTTTAAATACAGCCCCCTCCCCTCTATGACACTCCCATTTCAAGTTGAGGAACCTGCACCACCAGAATAGCTGGCTCATCACTGATTTTCATAATTACCCATTTTACAAATGTTGTCATTGAAGCAGCAAAAATATCTTTCAATATTTAGATTTTTACTTTCAATGATTGTGTTCATGCTGAGCATCTTGGAAAAATGTCCAAGTAATGGTGTTATTTTCTCCATTCAGAATTCATATGACAGGTTACAGAGATGTGAAGTTCTGAGCATTTTGTGATACTTTATCATGAACAGCTAAGAAGTCCAAAACTGCTGAAGGAACAAGAGAATAACCTTTAACCCTCATCATCTCTTTCACCTAGAAATAATGATGCATAGACATGACTTCACAAAGAAAACTTAAGAAAGCTGACAGATGAAAAGCATCTGATAATGCTGCACTGGAAGCTAGAGTTAAAATTTCACAAGATAGTTCTGCCAGGTTCTGGAAACTCTGAGGTCACCTATCACAGACATAGATTTAGAAAAGTCTGCTGTAAACAAGATATCATTAAACCAGCACAGCCAGCACAGAGTTAAGTAGGATCTCAGTACAGGTCTATTGCTTTAACAGAAGTCAGGATACCATTGTGCTACACACAATGCAAACAAATATAAACTTATGCAAGGAGTTAAGAGAACCACTAAGATTTTAGGGATGTTTAATTAGGCATACTTCTATTAAGACTAATTTTTTATTTCAAAAATATTTAAAATTGTTTTAAAGTAGCAAAAATGTGCATATGCAAAGCCTAAGAGACAATTTTCTCATATCTTAGTTTTAAGACTACAGAAAACCAGCATAAGCTTTGTATTATAGAATAATTCTGATATATAGTAGTGATGACCTCACTAGTTTGAGGATGTTTTCTATCTTCCAAAA